TAGTATGGTTCGGCGTCGCGCTTTTCTTCGTTGGCATCACGTTTTAATTCTTGTCTCTTGTAGTAATAGTATGGTTCTGCATCGGCTTCACGCTTGTAGTAGTAATAAGCATCACGTTTCATGTTGCTAGCATCCGCATCCCTCTTGTAGTAATAGTATGGAGAAGCATCGCGTTTCTCTTGGTTTGCGGAAGGCTCTGTTAACCGTTAACGAATGTGAATAAGATTTACTTTTTTACACAATTGTGACATTTCAATAAATTTACCAGCAAAAGAAGTTGCGGCTAACAAAGATAGGACAACAGCAATTGAGGAGAATTTCATGTTTATTATCTTGAAGATTTTTTGAATCAAAAGGTAATGAAGCGAAAGATAGAAAATAAGGGCTTTTATAGAAACCCGATGGTATACGAATGCTTAAAAATTTGTTTTGTCCGTTACAATAAATTTTAAGGGCTTTTTTTGTTTACAAAAAAAAATATCAAGAAACTTGGCTTTGAGCATTGCATTCATCTTTTGCAATTTCTAATTATGTTCTGGAAAACAACGAAAGCCTCTCAATATTTGGTTCTTGCGAAAAACAAATTGAAATTTTCTTGCGGAAAAGTTTCTTTTTAAGAGCATTTGCTGTTTCAAGAACTGAACCATAATATGTGGTTATTAAACAACGAGTAAGCCATCCCTTAGCCACTAAGCCGCTAAGATTATCAGAAATTTTCTTTACATTCAGACAATTAGGTATAATTTTTTTTTTTACTTTTGCAGTAATTAATTATGCTAAATTAGTATATACAGTATAATTTTAATCAATAAAATACAAAATACAAATATAGTGGTGATAAGCCATTTTGTTAGCATATATTTATTATATTTATTAACTAATTAATATAAAATATACTCGAATATATGATCTAAGTTAAACTATGTAAATTAATTCTTTTTTAACTAACTTATTTTAAGCTGAAGTCTTTAAGTCATAAAAACGATATATTACTTTATAAGTATTTTGAATAATTATCTTTCAAATTATTTACTTTATTATTAATTACTTAAGAGAGCTATAAAAAAAAAAAAATTAAAATTAAAAAAAGTTTTTAGTATTTTTTTAAAGATTTAATACTTTAAAACCTTATTTTTTTTTTCCCTCTATCAAGCTAGTTACATGTACTTTATTAAATATTTTGTAGACTTTACATTTCAGTTGTATTAATTATACTTTTTTATTAAGAAGAAAAATTTGCTTAAAACTGAAAGTAAAAAAACTTTATTTGTATAAAACCAGAATAAAGATAATTGATATTTTTTATATGTTTTATATTATAGATAGTTTTTTTATTTCATAAATTTTTTATATGACCCTTATATACAGTAATATTAAAATATGAATTTTGTAATTGTAACCTAGAAACATTACTACTATGCTATAAATTTATAGGTCTTTTAAAAACAATTTATTTTTAACTAGTCTAATAATATACTGTATATAACTATATATTAATTATTATTTTTTTTTAAACCTTCTGTCAGGTTAGGTATATGTACTTTATTAAACATATGTATACTTTACATTAATAATATATCACTAAAGCTAAGTCTTTATCTAACTTACTTTTCTTTATTTTAAGAATAATTAAAACTCTAAGTATAACTTCAAAAGTGATTTATCACTCTATTAATAATTCAGGTAAAGATCTTTTCAACTATTAACTTCATTGTCTGTAGATCATTACTGCAAATTACTTTGTAAGGTTCTGACAAAGCTTAAAACCCAACCATTTTATTTCATACTTTATTTTTCTTGTTAAAATTTCTCAGAGGCTTTTATCTTTGAGTTTTTCTTCTTTAAGTAATAGATTTCTTTTCTTCAGGATTATAGTTTTTTAATCAGATAGGCAAAAAGATCTTTTTGTTTTATCTTCTTTATTAATTCCTTATATTTATTTCTTTCAATTACCTTTTCACATCTTTTGTTCTAAACTTCTTTTCAAATTTGATTATAGACTCTTTTTTGCATTTTTATTATCCACTTTCTTGCTATTCTTCCTATATATTTACCTTGGCATTTTAGATTTGCTATTTTTTAAATAAGATCTATTATTATAAGGCCAGTACAGAAACTTAATATATTCTAACTGGTTTCAGAAATCTGTTCCACTACTTTAGCAATTCACTTGTCAAACACTCCTATTTATTTACAATTATAAATGATTAGCCTGAAATTTTTCTCTTCAGTCTCTCCTTTTTTTTTTCACAATAGCTTTTTAAAGTTTCTAGTGATTCCATCTACTCCTTTATTCTATATCTCTTATAGCTAATCCTTATAGCTAAATATTTTAACAAGTATTTTATAGTTTCATCTTGTTAACTATATATAATACATTTCACTTGCTTATATAAATTCAGTTTTCTTATAGCCATCTTACTTAAGATAGGTAGCTTATCATTAGTCAGTTTAATAAAAAAATTTTTTTATTGGGATTATTTAAAAGATTATTCTATATATATTGTGATAAAAATAGCATCTACTACCATTGGATAGTTATTTTTAGTCATGATCTTCATTCTATTTCCATTTTT